CAGTTAAGTAGTAATTAAAAATGAGGTTATGGATTTGCAGGGAGTGACACTAGTAATGATTCCGGAAGCGGAATTGGCTTTACTGAAGAAGAGTTTACAGAGTATTCAGCAGCAGCTAAACAATTTACATAGCAAGGAGGAAACAACCGTTAAGCATATTACAGCTATCGAGTTTATGGCAGCGGTACGCATCCGGCGGACCAAGTTTGATGAACTGGTGAGGTTTGGGAAGATAAGGATTATCAAAAAACTTCGGAAAATCTATGTGCCGGTGGAGGAAGTAGAACGGTATTTTAGCGATTCAACTATTTGTTGACGAGTTTTAAATTGTAATTTTTGCCTTTTGTAGCTCGTATGGGCTAAATTTATGATTGATTTTCAGTTGCTTATAATCTTTCTGTAAATGATTTGATTTTATTTATTAACAATGGTTATCATCAGTCTCCGTTAACTGAATTATCCATTTCCTCTATTCGCTTTATAAGACTCTACAATTCGTGTGTTACCATCTTACATCAAACAAATTTCCTTTCGGAATTCAACGCTACCACTACCTGGCATGAGATCTTCAGGCTGGAAAATTACTTGTCAATTGCAACGGATCACCTCTGAATATCTTAAACAATAAAGATTTATTAATAGTATAAATAATAAATGAAGTTTCAACGAAAAAAGCGTTAGATATAATTTTAACTGCAGGGGATTGCTTCCGATTTTTAAAAATTGTATTTCTTAACAATTTTTTGAAAAGCTGCAAGGTCAATCTCTGATTGTTTGTAAGGTAGCAATATATCGGTGTATTGCCTTTGCAATGTTTCTTGCCTCATTTGTATTGTACTTTTTATGGCTAGCATTTCCTGGTAAGATTTTCTAAGTTGCGCTTCCATTTGGGATTTTTTAGCAGCAACTTTTTGAGCAACTCCCGCAAAGTGTTGGTTTATGAGCGCCTGGTCAGGTTTATAAACAAACCCGGACTGCACCTGCCTTTTCCAGGATTTTAGAAACAAAATATTTTTTGGGCCTATGCCCTTAACATATTCAGTATCCAGTTTTTCAATGTCTGCAGCCGTTTTTATTCCAGCTGTGTACAAAAGCAGTTTTTTAGACGCCCCAAACATTTCAATCTTATGATCCTTTATCCAGAACTGATCAAGAAATAAATTCAATTGACGGGCGTATAAAAATTCTTCGGCATTACGTCTTTGTAACTGTAGCTCAGCGGGCAGTTCACGGAAGCGGGCAATAAGTTTGGTTAACTCCGGAAGTTCACGGTTATATCTGTCTGTTTCAATTTGGCTTTTATACTGTTCAAGAATATTAAAATACTTTTCCCTTAAAATTGTAAAAGAACCTTTGCGCCGTTCAAGTTCTTTTTCAATGGTATCTGCCCAGGGACTCAGCCTGTTCATCAACCAGAACAAAGCACCAAAAAATATTGACCAGTTGGTTATGTAGAAAAATCCCGCGGCTGTGGCTGCAACAATGATCACGTATACGGCAATTTTCAATTTTATGTGCCGTTCAAATTTTGGATCAATGGGTGTTGGAATTGCCTGGATATCGTTCATATTATCTGGCAATTCCTTAATGCTTAGTTTTTCAATCTTAAAGCCGTTTATAAATCTTTCTACATCTCCAAGCGAACCCAGATGATCAACAAAGCTATCATCCCAAAAGTAAACAATCCCCATTTTGTTCTTAAAGTCGCACCATGGACAGAAGCCAATAGCGCCGGGATATGAGTGCGTTTTGGATACTGAGCAGGATTTCATTTGCTTAAAACAACTATCAAGGGCATTTATCCATTCTGTTGCAGAAGGTCGGCCATCTTCATGTTCAAATGCACGGTGAAACAAATCGGTAATTTCGCCTGGCAAAAATTGTATTTTGAAAGCTGCATCAGGCGCTGACAGCAATTTGTTGTTATTCCTTAATGAGTAAGCAAACTCATGTTGGCGTATGGCGGCATCCTCATCAATGTCATGCCGACTATTGTTTTTGCCCGCAAATGGGTGCCGCCCCAAAAATAATAGTTGAAATATTAGTACGCTTAGAGAGAAGCTATCGGTTTGCTCAGTCCTGACTACATTATTGAAACTATTTTGCCGCAAGAGTTCAGGCGGCGTGTAGCGAGGAATACCGACCTGGCAAAAATAGTAACCTGATCCATGTTTTATCTGAAATGAATCACAGTCAATAAAAGCTATCATTCCTTTTGCATTTACAAGGATATTTCCCTCGTTGATGTCGCCAACAATTATTTTGTTCTGGTGAAGTGCGTAAAAGGCACTGCAAAGATTTCGTGCCACATGTACTAAAAAATTATAGCCTTTATCTGGGAACAACCGTTTCCTGTCCATGGGGCTGAAAAGCATATGCAACGGGTAATAATTATCGAGCTTGCGCATTACAAAACCAGCAGGTCTATGGCTTGTATCAAATACAATATCCTGAGGCCATGCGGTGTAGTTGTCAAGACCTGCATTCCAGATGGAAGCCATGTATTCCAGTTTAGAAAACTGTTCCTTCCCGATTGGTTCATTGTACAATTTCAATACGGAGGCGGGACTGCCCGCAATAAGGTAAACAGTACCTTCACCGCCTTTTCCAAGCTCTTTATCAGTAGTATAGGGGTGGCCATTTTTATTCTGGAAAATCATGCTGGTAATCTTGTCGCCAGGAAAAGGGTTTTGTCATCATCCGTCCGTTCATTAATCAGCCTGCTGTTGAGATACGTTGCCAGTTTTAGATTCAGCATGTTGATGTGAGGCATTCCATCAGCGTTACGCAAAGCAGGAAATAACGTTGAAAAAAATGGCTGGTACACACTGTTGTCAGCAACATTTAATGCAAGCTGTTGGAGGCCATCTGTAAACAAAGCTATTTCATTGATTGTGTTTTCAATTTGTCGGTATTGTAACTGCGGAAATGCCGGATCGTCAACCAGGAAAGATGTTGTATTTAAAAATTCTCCATTTTGCGGCATAAAAACAGGCACGTAGAACCCGGTGTCATCGTTGTAAATGATTGCACCATCACCGATTTGAAAGAATATTGCTTTTGCCTTGTAAATAATGGCGCCAAGAAATGTTGCAGAATATTCATTTAACTGAGCGTTGTTATTAGCAGCTTCGTCTTTTACGGCTGTGTACAGCAATTCTGATAGTTCGAAGACTGACGTTTCATCCAATTCCTTTTTTTGGTTCAGCCAGTTGCTTAAAATCTCAATGCAATGAGTAGAAATATATGCGGAAGCCCAGCCTCCATACATAGCGCTTCCTGCGCCATCACTAATACAGGCTATAAGAACCTCTTCACCGTTATCGTTTGACAAAACCGCAAATGAAGCTGCATCTTCACAGGCTTTTCCTGTAAGTTCATGCGACGTGCCGGTTACCGATTGTTCAATATGCTTCCATATCATACTTCTGACCAACCTGTGGGTGGTAATAAACTTACCTGGCTTCCTGGATTTTTACTAGAGACAGATTTCATTGAAGACGAAAGCCATTTGAAAAACTCACGGAACATAAGCCCCCTCAATTTTATAGGCTGGCGTGTTGTTGATATTTTAGAAAGTATATCCATATTGGCACCCTCCACACCAATAGCAAAGAAAGCAAATGATTTTTTTGCTTCTCCTTCTGTTACCTCCATAGCTGCATTGTTCCATGAATCTGTTGGCTCGCCATCTGTAATGAGAATAATCCAGGGTTTGTAATATGCCACACCATGTTCTTTGTATTCTTGTTTTCGTTTGGCGACCATTTTTAACGCCATACTGATGGCTGCGCCAATGGGTGTATCACCGTCGGCCCTTAGTTGGGCGGGATAGAAATTGGGCACGGTGGTAAAATCGGACTCTATGGTTACCGGCCCAAAACTAACAACTGCAACCTCAACACGTTTTCTAGCAAGCGGGTCTTCCATTAATTCCTGCTTGAATGTTCTTACACCTTCGTTCAGTTCTTGTATAGGCAAGCCATCCATGGATCCAGATGTGTCCAATAACAAAACGCAGGGACATCTTGGTTCCGGATTATCTGCAAAACTATCGCTGCCAAAAGGGATTTGTTCGAATGGTAAATAGTCAGCACTCATTGGGTTTAAGGTTTAAGTTTATAGCTACGAAGTAAACGTAAAGAAGGCATAAATACAAATTATAACCATTGCAAAACGGTGCCATGAAAAAGTGTTGACAGAGCAACTTATCTCATATTGATGCTTAAAGAGTTATAGTCAATAATTTGAGCTATAGAGTGCAGTATATTTATTTAGGCATTTGCAAAAGGTACATAATCTGCGTACTGGCTCACCAATAAACCGGCTAAACTGACCCCCTCGCCCATTTCAAATTGACCCCCTTAAAACAGATCTTAAAAACCACCTTGCAGCGGTATGGTAAATGCAGCTGTAAAAAGATGCAAAGAACTAATGTGTGCTGTAGTAAAATATAGATTATTGATTGTCCAGGTTTTGAGTATAAACTGGAGGTTGCCTCTTGATAAGTTTATTTCGTTTTTTTTCGTAAAGAGTTACCATTGAGTTCTATTCGGATAGATTGATGGACGACCCGGTCAAGGATAAAATCGGCCAGTTTTTTTCCCGATTATTTCGTGCCAGGGGTTCAGAAGCAACTAGTTTTCTGCGGTGTTCCTTTAAAGGTACTAATTCAACGGGGCTTTCATTTCTATAATTAAGGCGTGATTCTTCAACAGCTGAATTTTCGCACTGGGTTGGGTAGAAATATGATGAAAAGTTCATTTTTAAAAAGTACCATATTATAAATCTTGACGACCCTGCTCCGGGAGAGCTGCCAGACTTCTTATTTTCTCAAAAGATTAGGTGAGTTGAAAAGTTGGGATTTTTTATGAGCAGAATCCCGATTAATCCCTACAAGGAGGTGGCTTAAATTAATGAAATTGGAAAGGCTTGGAAAAGCAAAAGAATACAATAAATTGTATTAGATATAGTGTCGTACATTGTGTAAGCGTCCCCAAAGTTCGGCAGTATTAAATTAGAGAAAATCTTTAATTTTAAAACTGTCATTATGCAAAAGTCAAAATTCACAGAGAGCCAGATAGTGGCTGCTATCAAGAAACAGGAAAGCGGTGTACCTGTAAAAGAAATCAGCCGGGAACTGGGTATCAACCAGGCAACTTTTTATAACTGGAAAGCCAAATATGGCGGCATGGAAGTCAGCGATGTCAAGAAAATGAAGGACATGGAAGCTGAACTGAGCCAGTATAAAAAGATTGTTGCTGAACTCACCTTTGAGAACCGTGCTATCAAGG